TCCGACCAAATTTTGACATGGTGGGATACTCCCCTGCCCCCCTTCTTCGATTGGGCACCCCCTGTTTTCACAAACTTATTTTTTCGGCACTTCACATCGATCTGTATAGGTGAAATTGATAACTTTTTGTGACACTTTGTGCACTTTACTGGTAAGAAAAATTAGGACTTATTAGGCACTGTCAATGGACAAGTTATATGCGATTTACTAAAAAAAACTAGGAACAATTAGCAATACTAAAGCCCGTGTCTCAAACATGGGCACAGGGGGGTGTAAGCCCGGTAACCCCCTCTTAAATCGTCCGGACTAACCCCCCTAGACGGCAGCAGAGAAATCTTCCGATTTGCTAGGGATTTTTCACAGGAAAGTGAAGACCTTTTTTTTGCTAATCAACTTCAGAAATGGAAGAAAATCTTTAAAATTGCTAGGGTTTTTCGCGAAAAATTCTATCGATTTGCTAGGGTTTTTGATTGGCTGATTGACCCCTCTTTAAACTTTTTCCGTGCCCATGTATGCCGTGCCTCCCCCCTAGATGTACTCTCATAACTCAGAAGCGAATCCTGACAAGTAGAGTGCTTGCCGCACCTCAATGCATGTAAGAGAAGCAAGAAAAGTACCGGCACCTTAGCGTTGTGAGATTTCATGCTCTGATTTCGATGTCTTAAGAAAAATGAAAATTCTTTTATTCTGTTCAATTTTCTTGATTTTCTTTAAATAGTTGGGACACCTTTCACAGCAAATAGTGCACAAAAATCCCGTTGCAACTTGCGGGCTATTTAATTTTGATTGGCGTTTACTGTTCAATGTAAGTCGATTATTTTCAAAAATTATTCGAGTGGTTTGAAAATGCTAATCTGGCTGACAAAAAAGGCTAATTTTTTGTGGTAAATGAATTTTCTAGATCATTGCGGCTATAGCCAGTTATGTGACAATATTGATTCAATTCGACAGGAAGAAGTAAAGAATATTACCCAAGATCTGACCTTTACGAAATTGAGAAGGAAAAAACCAAAGGGGAAAACTCACTGAACGAGGTATTACGTGTTATGACCGAAAAATTGAATGAGGCAAACACAAATCTCAACAATTCCAAAGCAATGTGTGAGAAAGAACGACAAACAATGGTCGAATTGAAAAAACAACATAGCATCGAAATGGAGACAGCGATTAAAAACTTAAAAAACGAACATAAAGAAGAAATTAAGAAAATCGATGCCAAATTACAGGATGCCATCACGGAGAAAAAAACAATGGAAACACAATTAGCAGCTAAATACCGTGATATTGTGGCTGGAATCAAACAGAAAGCCGATACCGAACGGAAGGAACGGATATCATGCGCATGCTGCGGTAAACAACTCGAAGCCAAACGAGTTTGCAGCAAAGAATGCGAAGAAATGTGGTAGGTGGTCTATTTCCACTCAGTTTTGACGAATTCTTCATATTTTTTTTACATTTTACAGGGGAGTTTGGCGAAACTAGAAGATTTTCACGGAAAAAGGAAATCATGTTCGAATAAATGGAAAATTTTGCCAATTTTGTCCCCAACAAATGTTATTAAATGATTGTCATTGAATTCGACTTGTATTCAACACTAGGTTTTATCACAGCAACAATTTAATATTGTAAAATTGATATTTTCTTTTTCATTCAGGGGGCGGTATAAAATCGATATTTGAATGAAATTATTCATGTGTGCTACTAAGCACCGCTTTATATCAAACACAAATCTAGAGTATTAGAAAATGTTGTTCATTGAAAGTATTATTTCAATCTCAAGCAATAAATCATTTTGAGCATTACATGTTTATATTTATAAAGTTTTTGTTTACAATCAATTGTTATGGTTTTTATTTATATCTAGTTATCAAATGGGATAAAATTCTATCTGTTTTGATTTATCAAGTGTTCGAAATCGATAGAAGGAGAGCATTGGAAATTGTACACGTTAATTGGTCGAGTCTGGTGAGGATTTTATTTGGTAAAGTCCCTATGGAGAGCTACTGCCAGTGAGTCAATCAATTTCAGACTTTTATAGAGTGATTAATTTTATTTTTGATTTTTTATTGGATTTTTCTTCCTTATGCATAGTCTTGTTGGCCCAATGTCTTCCAAAAACCGTTTTTAAATCATTCCCGTAGGTTTTTTTTTGTAAATGAATATCATATCTGTCACGTTTTTCACTGGGGAATGTTGTTCATTTAAAATGTCTATTCTAGAGTATCTACTTGTGTTCAACACTATGCTAATACAAAATTTGGATGTGCAGTTACTTCATACCCTTGTGGAAATATTTCGACTTCATAGTCGACTATAAATTGACTAATTTGGGACAAAAATGGCTGATATTTCAGCCAGCTCAAGTTAACTATAAGTGACTATATGCGTCTTCATGTAATTTGAGTTGAGAAATGTCGATTGTGATCATAGCTAACTACGGTTAACTATAAGTATATGAAATTGACTTTTGTCAACTATGTTGACTATAATTACTTTTAGTTAAACATAACCGACTATATTCGATTTCAATCATCTATTGGTAATTTTAACCGAATAAAAGTGATTAAAATTGACTCAATTTATAGTCAGTCAGTCATTTTTTTCCACAAGAGCACACAAGAGTGGGAAATGAAATAATGATTCACCTACTTAAAATTAGAATAGGTAACGTGTATGCTTTGCTTTATTACCGCCACAATAAAGTCATCAAACTGTTGTAACTGTATCGAACTGTATATTGGAATTAGTTTTCGATTTTTGAATAATTCATGAAAAATGCACAAAAAAACATAAACCAATCAATAACCTTATTTTGCAACGAAATAAAGAGTCTTACGGGAGTAAGACGAACTTTTCCGCATGGTGGTAGTTGCGTATTTTATTAAGAAAGTTCAAAATAATATTTGTTCGATTCTTCAAGTCTTTCAAGCGGCGTAAAGTTCGAGACCAAAAAATATTTTTCAACTTTGGCAACGAAATATTCTTTAATTTAATAGCAGAAGTACCCGAGAAAAGATTTTTCACACTTTCATGATGAAACCATTTGTACGACATTTGAAAGTGTTCTATTTTCTAACAAAATACTATAAAAATATATCTGACGTTAATTTTGCCATAAAAATTATTTTTGAAACACTTTTCATAACTAAAGTCACAACAAATTTGGATTTTTGTATGGGAGCCATGTCTGTATGCTACCTTAATGGCGTGAAACTTTGCACAGGTTATTTTTTTCACAAATAACATTCGGAGGGTTTGGAGAAATTTCAACCAAAATCAAGAGTACCTCCCATACAAAATATTCGTTTTTGAGCCAATTGAAAATTTTGTATGG